TAGTACAGTTGATTTTGTTTGTTTGGCTATCTTTTTGTCCAAAGGGCTTTGATAGGTTTGATGTAGATGCAGAGTTCTTAACATCAAACACATTTTAAGATTTACAAAACAAGATAAGTAAAGGAGTTACACATCTTTTTATAGATACAGAGGCATTGTGTAGCTACCCGTTACACCCAGCCATCTTTGTCTCCCTAGCCCAGCTCAGCTATGAAATTAAGTCTCACACCAGAGTCATGCCAATGGCTTCCCTCAGTGTACCCACATCTCAAATGGGGCAACCAAAAATATTGTCTGCTGACAGTTTGCTCAAAGGTAGATAGCATGCTCATTTCAGTATCCAGGAAGGGAGTGGTGTGACTAGCATTGTATTTATTCAACTTTGGTTCCTGAACTTGAATGACCAGTGTGGATACACTGAGGAAAGCCATTGGCATGACTTTTGTGCCCAATACATACAATATATCTGGTGTAGATCTGATTTTATATATATATATATATATGCACACCCGCATGATAATTAAATGGGACAAATAACTGGATGGATGATTGGGTAAGAAGGGCTGGGCAAGAAATGGAAAAAAGGCTAAAGAACTCTAAATGCTTTGCCCTGTTATTAAAGTTGAGGGTGCATTATTCAGCTGCTGTATTGCATACATATACATATGTATCCATATAGGAGGCTTCATAAACATCTAGTAGTACGTGGAAAGACTGTGAAATTACTACCATTCACCTTCCTATTTCACATGACTATAAGATGTTGGGTGTGGGGTCACTTACATCATTAACCCAATTGCCAAATAATCAATTGCAATAAATCCCAAAGGGTTGTTACTGTGCTGGCACCCAAACACCACATGCTTCTTTCAAGTGTCACTTTGCACAAATGATCCAAACCAGCTGTCAGGTAATCACCTCAAATATGCTATCCTTAAAGAAGGATGTAGAATTGATAGCGAAAACACCAAGGGACATCTCTGTAACAGAGGAACTGAGAACTAACATCCAGGGAAGGACAGAAGCCTAGACAATTTATATTTGGACTCTCTGCAACTTCTGTGTAAGGAAGATACTTCAAAAGAGTTATTGGTGGATGCTGCTTGCTCCTTCTGCATAATAAAAGAGAAACTACAAACTGTTTGGGGTGGGGAGAAGAGCTTGCTTATTCACAACATCTTGAAATAGTGCCTTTGGTTTTTGTTAACATTTTCATTGTACAACTGTGCAGCAGGTCTTTTTTGCATATACCCATGCAGTCTTTGGTAAAATCATTTTGGTTATTTCCTGCTTTTTCAAAACTGGAACAGACGTTTTCCCAATACAATTTAATCAACAAATATAAAAGTTAACGTGGAGATCACACATTCCTCTTTGGCAACTGGAATCATAGGGCCAATGTAGCGGCAGGCAAAAATACCTAGATGTTTCAATTAGGATTAATTTTTCAGATCTAGGAAGCGATACATTACATTAAATAACACAGATGTTGCAAACCTGCAGGTTATCAAATTGCCTAGTGATGGAAAGTTAAAGTAGTGAAGCTATTTCACAATAGTGTCCAATTCCATCTTAGCTGGCTAAATGAGGCTAATGGAGGATTTAAAAAAATTATATAGGTGTATCCTTCTAAAATAAGGCTGTGGCAGTTAGATGTCTATGATGTACTGTCCTACTTACCCTCTCTCTGAGTTTCCTCATACTGGGTCCATACTGATTTTCCCATTTTATACTTGTAGGGAATAGGGCCTACCTGACACTATAGACTTGTGTAGACACTTGTGTAAACACTTTTACAAATGGTGAAAACAAATGCTGGTAATTTTAATTTATGGTAGAGAGCAGGAGGGGTAGCTGAACCTTCAGTAGACTCATTATTTTCAGTGGGTCTGAGATATTGCTCATGAATATGCATAGGGAGAAGATCCCTAAACTCCTCCAGCCCACTGACCACCCCTATGCTCCTTATCGCTGTGGGCACCAATGACACGACTCAGACTGCTCCCAGCCGGGTCATGAAGTACTACAGGGATTTGGGAGTGGGGCTAAAGGGTCTGGGGGTGCAGATGGTGTTTTCTTTGATCCTCCCAGTCTCGGGCTATGGGCTGAGGAGGGAGAAGAGGATCCAGGTAGTAGACTGCAGTGCTGGTGTCATCAGAAAGGCTTTGGCTTCCTGAGAGAGGCAGCGAGCTGCTGGGAAGGGACGGCCTCTACCTCTCTCTCCTGTGGAGGAGACTCTTCTTAGCCAGACTGGCTGGCCTGCTCCACTGGGCTTTAAACTAAGCCCGCCAGAGAATGGGGGGACTACCGCCACTGCTGGCCCACTCAGCAACCCTTGCAAAGCCAGCAGGTCAAGGCACTTAAGGGATCCCACCCCTGCCCCAGCCCTGGAACAATCTGCAGGCAAGGCTGTGCCCCCAAGGGGACACTTGCCTACCTGTACACAAATGCCAGGAGCTTGGGAAACAAGCAGGAGGAACTTGTCCTTCTGCTTAACACAAGTAATTATGATGTCATAGGGAGAATGGAGACCTGGTGGGACTCCATCCATGACTGGACCACATGTATAGATGGCTATACCCTGTACAGGAGAGATCAAGTGGACAAAAGGGTCAGGGGTGTAGCTCTCTATGTCAAGGAGAGTTATCCGTCCCTGCAAGATGATATTGGTGACCAGGGTGGATGACTGGAGGCCCTCTGGGTTAAAATCCGTGGGGAACATGGCACGGCAGACAGGATGGTGGGAGTCTATTACAGACCTCCCACCCAAAGTCAGGAGCTTGACCAGGAGTTAGCCAGGGAATTGGCTGAGGCTGCATGCTCCCAGTCCATGGTGATCATGGGAGACTTCAACTACCCAGACATCTCATGGGAAGAGTGCTCAGCTAAATCTGAGTGATTGCAAAGCTTCCTCTCATGCGTGGCTGACCTCTATCTGACACAAGAAATCTATGGGCCAATGAGAGGTAAAGCACTGCCTGACCTGGTACTCGCAAACAGGGATGACCTAATCGGTGACCTAACAATTGATGGGAAGCTGGGTGACAGTGACCACGAGCTTATCACCTTCACCATCTGCCATAAGCTGGCAAGACAGTCAGCAATACAGAAGTCCTTCAGGAAAGCTGACTTTGACAATCTCAGGAGGCTCCCTAAGGGACCACGATCTAAAGGAAGGGGAGGGGAGTTCAGGAAGAGTGGTTGCTGCTCAAGGGAGCGATCCTTGATGCACAAGCTATTGCTATTCCGTTTCGGAGGAAAGGCAGCAAAAGGGCACAGTAGCCCTCTTGGCTCTCCAGAGAACCAGCAGACCTCCTGCAGCTAAAAAAAAAGACCTACAAAGGATGGAAGATGGGATCTACCTTCAAGGAGGAATATTCCACAATGGTCGGGACCTGCAGGGAGCAAACCAGAAAAGCCAAAGTTGTGACTGAACTCCAACTAGCTACAAGTATCAAGGATAATAAAAAGTTCTTTATCAGATATATGGGGAGTCAGAGCAAAAGCAAAGGCAACATTAGACCCCTGCTATACCAGAAGGGACAACTGACAACTGATGCCCAGGAAAAATCCAACCTACTAAATGGGTACTTTGCGTTGGTCTTTCATCAATCCCACAGGACACCCGTGCCCATTATGGAAAAGGGAGGCCCAGGTGAGGGAGATTCCTTGCCCTCCGTCAATGCTGACCTTGTGAAGGAACACCGCGAGAGGCTGGACACCTTCAAGTCAGCCGGCCCTGACAGTTTATACCCCAGGGTACTCAAGGAGCTGGCGAGCATCATAGCTCAGCCCCTGGCATGGATCTTCGAGAACTCCTGGTGCTCTGGTGTAGTGCCCGAAGACTGGAAGAAGGCCAATGTGGTGCTTATCTTCAAGAAAGGAAGGAAAGTGGATCTTGCAAACTACAGGCCCATCAGCCTGACCTCTATCCCAGGGAAGGCCTTAGAAAAAATCATCAAAGAGGCCATTTTCAATGGACTGGCTTATGGCAACATGCTGAGGGATAGTCAGCATGGGTTTGTTGTGGATAGGTCTTGCTTGACCAATCTTATTTCCTTTTATGACCAGGTGGCCTATCACATGAACAAGGGAGAGGAGATTGATGTTGTATATCTTGACTTCAAAAAAGCTGGTATCCCATGATCACCTCTTGGCAAAACTGGCCAACTGTGGCCTTGGGTCCACCATGATCCACTGGCTGGAGAATTGGCTCTGCAGCAGGACCCAGAGGGTGGTGGTTGATGGAAGTCAATTGTCATGGTGCCCTGTGATCAGTGGGGTCCCCCAAGGCTCTGTCCTTGGACCCATATTGTTCAACATCGTTATTAATGATGTGGAGATTGGAGTCAGAAGTGGGCTGTCCAAGTTCGCCGATGATACCAAACTTTGGGGTAAAGCTTCCGTACATGAGGACAGGAGGCGATCCAGGCTGACCTTGACAGGCTCAGGAAATGGGCGGACAAGAACCTGATGGTGTTTAACACCAAAAAACGCAAGTTTCTCTACCTTGGGAGGAAAAACCTGCAGTATCCTTATAAGCTCAGCAGTGGTACGCTGGCTAGCACTACAGATGAAAGGGACTTGGGGGTCATGATTGACCACAAGATGAACATGAGCCTTCAATGTGATGCTACGGCAAGTAAAGCAAGCAAAACACTGGCTTGTATACATAGATGCTTCTCAAGCAAATCCCAGGACATTGTTCTCCCATTGTACTCGGCCTTGGTGAGGCTGCAGCTGGAGTACTGCATCCAGTTTTGGGCCCCACAATTGAAAAAGGATGTGGAGAAGCTTGAGAGAGTCCAGAGAGGAGCCACACGCATGATCAAAGGTCAGGAAAACAGACCTTACGATAGCAGGCTGAGAGCTATGGGCTCTTTAGCCGGGAAAAGTGCAGGCTCAGGGGTGATCTGATGGTCACCTATAAGGTTAGCTGGGGTGTTCACCAAGATCTGGGGGAATGATTGTTCACCAGAGCACCCCATGGGATGACAAGGTTGAACAGTTATAAACTACTGCAAGACCGTTTCAGGCTGGACATAAGGAAGAATTTCTTTACTGCCTGAGCCCAAGGTCTGGAATAGCCTGCTACCGGAGGTGGTTCAAGCACCTACTCTGAATGCCTTCAAGAGAAAATTGGCTGTTTATCTTGCTGGGATCCTGTGACCTCAGCTGACTTCCTGCCCCTGCAGGGGGCTGGACTTGATGATCTTCTGAGGTCCCCTCCAGCCCTAATGTCTATGAAATCCATGAAATATTTCGTCTGGTTTTTACTTCAGAGGAGAGTACAAGCTACTTGGGTGTGCCAGCAATAGTAGCACCTCACTACTGGTTTAGAGATGAAATCTTAAAGGACTGCAACTTGCTTTTTTGGCCGAGAACAAAAATGAATGGTAACCATTTAGTGTATATGTTAGATTTATCAATACCAAATAAATCTAAGGTGCAGTTCAAAAGATGTCTTTGTCTCGTGGTGAAATAAAAGGATCTCTGTTGTCTTTGTGCTATATTTTATTACAATGCATGGGTATGGTTACTCCTCCATAACATATCCCTTGGAAGGGAATGAGAGCTATTGTTAGATTAAGTAGAGCCATATGTGTGCAGCATAAATCCATATAATGAAGGGAACCTTACATATGGGAGAGTGAACGAATGCCCTAAAGAGACAGAGAATGTAAAGAAGATAGTGGAACAAGTAATCTCAGCCTTCCTTGTGTCTAAATTCATTTCAGAATGGATTTATGTAAAACTCTGTTGCTTGGGTTTGGTAAACAGTCATGGCAGTTTATTTGAAGTTTATTTTACCGTTCCAGAAAGAGTCTCCATAGTACTATATAGAGCAGTGGTTCTCAACCTTCTTAGACTCAAGGCTTCCCTTGTTAGACTGAAGGTGGCTCTCAGAAAATGCCAGTGCCTAGCTTTTACTCATTTTATTGACTAGGGGGAAAATAATAAAGCAATTCTTTTGTTGCAAAGAACTTAGAAAGCCACCAGAAGGTCAGCCTTGTTTTGACACTATGGATTTCTATTTGAAATCTCTGCATTTATCTTGTGAATCATGTTTGCACACCTAACAGTGGAATATTGTGCACCTCCCCTAAAAGGGTTTCTTGGCACCCTTGTGGAGAAATCACTAGCACAGAGCTTGGAGACAGCTGGGAAAAACTGACAGCAGATCTGAAGTGTAGTTCAGACCCTTGGGTCAAAACAACAAAGGATAGTCACAGTCCCAATTCACTACAGCTCTCTGCAACTTCCCTTACTAGGTGTGACCTAAGTTTTCAGACAAGCTTGTTAGTTGAAATGGAGAAGCCAGCTCCAATGTCTTCTCTTGCAGGCTTTATTTCCAGGTGTTAATCCTTGTTTAGGATATAATTGTCTACATCAGTGGTTCTCAACCTTTTTGGACTTAGGGCACTGATCCATAGGTTTTGTGAATTGAGTAGCACCCAATTTCAAAAACTAATTTATATGTTACAGCATTTACCTACTTGCAGAGGGGCTGAGAAGTGAGGGTAGAGTATTGGGGTAGGCCTAGGATTCAGAGAGACCTCAGCAAATTGGAGGATTGGACAAAAGGAAACAAGTGCAAAGTCCTGCATTTAGGACAGAAAAATCCCATGCACTAGTACAGGCTGACTGGCTAAGCAACGGCTCTGCAGAAAATGATCTGAAGGTTACAGTAGACAATATGCTAAATATAAGTCAACAGTGTGCCCTTGTTGTGAAGAAAGCTAACAACATACTGGGTTGCATTAGTAGAAGCATTGCCAGCAGACCAAAGGAAGTAATTCTTCCCTTTTATTTGGCACTGCTGAGACCAAATCTGGAGTATTGTGTCCAGTTTTGGTTCCTCCATTACAGAAAGGATGTAGACAAATTGGAGAGAATCCAGTGGAGGGCAACAAAAATGGTTTGGGGGCTGGGGCACTTGACTTCTGAGGAGACTGAAGGAACTGGACTTATTTAGTCTGGAGAAGAGAAGACTGGGGGTGAGACATGGATTTAATAGCAGCCTTCCACTACCTGAAGGGTGGTTGCAAAGAGAATGGAGCTGAACTGTTCCAGGTGGTGGCAGATGGCAGAACAAGGAGCAATGGTCTTAAGTTGCAGCAAGGAAAATTTAACTTAGAAATTAGGAAGAATTTTCTCACTAGGAGGGTAGTAAAGCACTGGAACAGGCACCCAGAGAGGTTGTGGAATCTCCATCCTTGGAGGTTTATAAGACCTGGCTAAACAAAGATTTGGCTGGGTAATATAGTTGGGGATGGTCCTGCTTAGAGCACGGGGTTGGACTACATGACCTCCTAAGGTCCCTTCCA